ACAGCATGGATGGAACTGGAAAGCATTATGCTAAGTGAAATAAGCCAGTCAATGAAAGAAAAATACCGCATGATTTCACTCATTTATGGATAATAAAGACCAGTATAAACTGATGAACAAAAATAGATACAGAGGCAGAACAGCATCGAACAGACTGTCAAACTACAGTGGGAAGGATGGGGAGGGTTGGGGGGCAGGAGGGGGAGTAAGAGATCAACCAAAGGACTTGTATGCATGCATATAAGCATAACCAATGGACATAAGACACTGGGGGGTAGGGGAGGCCAGGGGATTGTCAAGGGGGGGGGGAAGGAGACATATGCAATACTCTTTGTAATACTTTAAGCAATAAAACAAAATTTAAAAAAAAGAACCCTGGCATATATGGTGACTAAAAATGAGTTGACTTGGATGATGGGCAATATATAGATCTTGTAACATAGAAATTTACACCTGAAACCTATTTGATCCTATTAACAATGTCACCACAATAAATTTAATAATAAATAGGTAAATAAATAAAAAAAGAAATTATATATGCACCCCTATGTTCATAGCAGCACAATTTGTCACAGCTAAAATATGCAAACAATCTAAGTGCCCATCAGCAGATGAGTGGATTAAAAAACTATGGTACATCTACACAATGGAATAATATGCTGCTATAAAAAAGAAGGAACTTTTACCATTTGCAACAGCATGGATAGAACTGGAGAGCATTATGCTAAGCGAAATATGCCAGTCGGAGAATGATAAATATCACATGATCTCACTTATATGTGGGATATAATGATCAACATAATTTGATGAACAAGAATAGATCCAGAGACAAATGGCAGGGGAGGAGTGGTTAGAGAGCAACCAAAGGACTTATATACATGCATATTAGCATAACCAATGGACACAGACACTGGGGTGGTGGGGGCTTGCCTGGGTGGGAATGGCTGGGGAGGGGGGGGTCAAGTGGGGGAAAAAGGAGACATATGTAAAACTTTACACAATAAATAAAAAAAGACAGCTGAAAGCTAAAAAAAAAAGGTAACATTACTTTAACATTCTTGATAAGCTGGTTGACTACAGCTTGACATTTACTTGGAAAGTATTAGGTATTATAACAAATATAGCAAATGTGCCATGAGAGAGGGGAAGAAGGGGAAAGGGAAAAAGGAAAGGAGGGAAGGAGAAGAAAGAAAGGGAGGAGGAGAGAGAAACATTGTTTTCTGTATAGAGTAGGAAAGCTGTTAAGAATTGACTTGTATACCCCCTCCAATTCATATGCTGAAGCCCTAATCCCTGGTACCTCAGAGTGTGACTATATTTGGAGATAGAGTGAGGCCATCACGGTGGACCCTAATCCAATCTGACAGGTGACCTTATAAGAAGAGGAAATTTGGATACAGAGAGAGACACCAAGGGTATGTGTACATAGAGGAAAGACCATATGAAGAGGCAGCAAGAGGGTGGCCCTCTGCAAGCCAAGGAGAGAGGCTTCAGAGGAAAACAACCCTACTAGCACCTTGATCATGGGGATAATATGAGTACCTTATCTCATAAGTGTATTGTGAAGATTAAATAAACTAGTCAATGGAAAGGACTTAGAATAGTACCAGACACATAGTAAGCACTCAAGTGTCAGCTGCTGTTGTTGTTATTGATGTAAAGAGGGCTAAGGAAACATAAGCAGGCTAAGGGAAGCTATATACCTTTGGTGTAACACAATATTGATTGAATGAAAACATCACCACCAGCATTCTGACTTCAGGTATGTGAATGGGCCTGTTGAAGCCTTTATTTTCAACCTTGCACAATGGGAATCATAACATCTGTTTAATTCTCAGTAGTTCTGCAAGGAGACTATTTAGGCTTTTCTCAGGGGAAAGGACCCACTAAGAGGAGAGATATAGGTGACCTAATTAGAGGAACCACAGCCACCTCAACTGATGGCAGAGGCTATTTGGCCAAAGTTGTGGGCTAGATGCACTCACATTCAAGATCACTAACTCTATGAATAATTTTCTGGTATGCCATTTGTTCCTTGAATCTGATAGAGCTGCTAAAAAAAAATGGAGAAAGAGAGCAGACTTCTCTCTTCCTGACCTGGGAATCTCCTGAGAAAACAGTAGCAGGGTGATTCGAGAGATGGAATAAGATAGAACTGGATACACTTCCCTGTCTTAGCAGGTTACCTCCACAGGCAGGGAGTAACTTGAGCACCAGCACTGCTCCACAAACCTGAGCCAGTAAGAAATGTGTTTTCAATTTGTTTGATTTACACCATTCTTGGGCATTATCCTCTATAGCTCTGAGACCAAGTAAGGAGTTCTAATTCTACAGTTCACCATGAGAAGTCAAGTCAGTCACATAGTATGGGGAAATGCAGAAGGGAGGGCAAAGGTACCTATGTTAGCAGCCTTGCCTGCGGATCCCAGCTAACAGGAGAAGACTGAACTTAATGTGCCAGGCCTATTATGACAGAGACAATACAGTAAGTCCTCATTTAACATCTTTGATAGGTTCTGCAACTCTAAGCAAAATTATGTATAATGAAACCAATTTTGCCATATCCATTCATATAAACAGGAGTTAAGTTCCTACAACATCTCAAGAAAACGATGTTGTTCAAGGATGTGTTATATGGCCTGCCCTCTTTCACCGTGGTGTTTCCAGCTTCTGGAGGTTGAATGGTCAACCTATAAGGTGCTTTGTGCTCTTTGGAAGAAAGGAGCCAGGCCATATAAGCCACCTGGGGAATCTGTTAAAATGCAGATTTTGATGCAGTGGGTCTTCTGAGGTGGGTCCTGAAATTTTGCATTTCTAACAAGCAGCAGCCACCTGAAGCTGATCATCAGACCACACTTTGAGTTACACACAAAGTAACTTAGAATTTTTAGTGACACTGATTTTCCAAGACTGGTCTGAGGGCTCATGCAATAAGCATTCCCTGGCATTACCCCAGACCCTCTCTATCAGACTTTCTGGGGATGGGGTCTGCCAAACCTCTTTTTTTTAAAAAAAAAAATCTTGACCCAAGGATATGTTTTTATTGATTTGAGAGAGGAAGGGAGAGGGAGGGAGGGAGAGAGGGAGGGAGGAAGAGAAAGAGAAAGAGAGAAAGAAATGAAAGAAACATCTATGTGTGAGAGAAAACATTGATCAGTTGCCTCCCATAGACACCCCAACCACGGGATTGAACCCACAACCTAGATATGTGCCCTGACCAGAATCAAACCTGATACCTTCTTGTGCATGGGACTACACTCCAACCAACTGAGCCACCATCCAGGACTGGCAAACCTCATTTTTCAGCCATTCCTTTAGGTTATTGCTATGGACATTGTTTCAGAACCATTGCACAAAATCAGTGGCTCTAACTGCAGCTCCATGTTAGAAGGGACTTTTTAAAATACTGTACCCAGGCTGCATCACAGGCCAAAAATTCAGAACTGTAATCTGAGGCATTGGGGAGGGAGACAGGGCATCAAAAATTTTTAATTGTTTTATTTGTCAGTTTGTTTGTTTTTTTCCAGCACCCCTAGGTGAGCCTAGAACATACTGGGAGTTCAAAACCACTGCTTAAATGAATAATTTTCCTTTTAATTTCTATTGATGTATAATATGCATCTAGAAAATTATGACAATCATAAGAATATACATGAGTATTTGTGGAGAGGGAGTGACTAAATTCTCAGAGAGAGTGCGAGTATAATTGTGGTCATAGGATCTGGAGGCTTAAGCTCCCATGTGTGCATGTGTGTGTGCATGCACACGTGTGTATGCATGTGTGTGGGTGCATGTGTGTGTGTAACTCCCTGAATGTCAGTTTCTTTGTGACAAAAGGCTATAATACTTGCTCTATCTAAATTACACAACTGTTATGTGAAAATACCTTGTAAACTATGTTATCTAAAGAGGAAAAATTATCATCTTGAGATTTAAACTGTGATCTTAATGCATGAGGCAAACTTAAATCATGCAAATGAAAAGCAAAAGGAAGAATTTATCAGTGATTTCTTCCCTGTGCTTTCTAACATTGCCTACTAATCCCTCTGCATTCCCACATGTGGGACTCTGAGGATGCGGCCCTGCTACCCAGCTCTGCAGCTCTAGCTTCTCTCTCTGCTGGTTTATCACTCAGCTTCCTGCCACAGTGGGATTCTACCTGCTGGCCACAGAGGATGTGTGTGGCCCAGACTTCCCTGTGGGTTTGGACGAATGAGGAAGGAATCTAATTCTTGCCCAACGGGGTCCTAGGCAAAGCAGATAGGCTTTGAAACTTCCCAGCAGATTATCTTGGTTCAATGTGACTGAGTTCACACTAGAGACCCTTAGAAACATCTGGAAGCCTCTGTTTAATGGGTGGGGTCCCCAGTCTCCCTTCTCTCTACCAAATCTCTCCAAAAGCTTCTGTAGGCTTTTTGGTCTGTCCTGATTCTGGCCTAAACCACTATTGCAAGCCTCAGAGTTCCACAAAATGCTCCTATTTCCATCATGTTCCACTGATCCATAAAGGGCTGCATCAAATCTCAAAATTACTAGTAAATACAGTTGATCCTTGAACAACACAGGGGTTAGGGATGTGACGCCCCCCATGCAGCCAAAAAAATCCATGTATAACTTTTGACTCCCCCAAAACTTAACTAATAGCCTACTGAAGCCTAACCAATAACATAAACAGTCAATTAACACATATTGTGTATGTTTTATGTATAAAATATTGTTTTCTTACCATAAAGTAAGCTAGAGAAAAGAAAATGTTATTAAAATCATAAGGACAAGAAAATACATGTACAGTACTGTATGTTATTTATTTTTAAAAATCAACATATAACTGGACCTGCACAGTTCAAACCTATGTTATTGAAAGGTAAAGTATATGTAGATATTATTTTAACACTCACATGTGCACATGAGCTAAGGATGAGGACAAGCAATGCAAAATGAAGTAGGAAGCAAATGCTGCTTTGTATGTTGCTCGCATGCTCCTAGAAGAAACTACTTACCAGCCGGGTATTTACCACAGGAAACAGCAAGGCCAGAAGAGCTCCATTCAACATGTGCATCTGTAGCCTGGAGGAGAAGAAAAGTAAAGTCTAGGTCACATACAGACTCTGATGGAGAGGCAGACAGGTTATGCCACACCATATGGGAGAGAATGTAAACAATGGCTGTCCATGTAAAAGAGCATTGGAGTTGGCACATGTGCACTATAAATGAGAAGCTGCATATTTTGTATTAACTGAAATGTTCTAAAGAGCATCATCACTGCCTCAAAATCCCCCAAACACATTTGGAACAAACTTTGGTTATAATACTTCATTACATGTTGAGCTCTGATCTCCCAAATCATCCAGTCAGCCCCAATCTATGGCTTCACCTACTGCAGCTCAGACAACATTAGAAAGGGAAGCTGCAGTGTCCAAGTGCTCTGTTATTACAGTAGAGACCTATTTCTTATAACAGAGTTGCTTATTTATGGGACTATGTCCAATCCTTTTCCCCAAATGGCAACCTGGACATAAAAAAGCCAGTACAACCCAGAGGGCCGACTGCAGTGCTTTGCAAACTGTTCCCCCGCCTTCTTAGAAATGCTTTTAGGGGCTGCTACAGAAGGTGGTGAGGGCAGAAGTGGCAGCCTTCCAGCCTTCCTTTGATCTATTTTATATATTGGTATATGTGACTTCAAAGGAAGGGATGGCAGAGAGAAGGTGGTCACTTCAGCATCGTGTAGTGATACTGCTTCCCAATAACAAACTTGTTAAAACACACACTAGAAATCCCTTATAATTCAAGAACAACCACATCAGAAACAAACTATACTTGCAAAGGGCTCTGAAGACAGATTTAAATAGCTTTCTCTATGATTACAAGAAAATGGTCCTTTACTACTAAGAGAGAAGTAAAGAATGACAGTCTGTTCTTCCTAAAGAAAAGCTGATTTGATGAGTCACACATAACCACCGCTGAGTCAACATGCCTCCTAGATCTCGAGTCTCTCCCTCCCGCTCTCCCTCTCTCACTCCCTTAATCTCTTACACACACACACTAACACATCGGCCCTGAGATACCAGGATTTCTCCTATACCAGGAATATAAAAGCAGTCCATACCTTGAAGACCCCTAGGACATTAACTCTTCTCTTGGAGCTCACAGATGTGTGCCTAAGATTAACAGAAGTTAAAAGTAGACCCAAGGGAATAACACAGAAGCCCCAAGCCTACTTTTCATTTCTCCCAGTGTGTTTCTTAACTGCTGTTCTTGTTGCCAAAGCCAAAATGACAGTGATGATGCACACTTAACATATTCTAGGAAAGTATCTAATTAACTCTTTACATAAACATCATTGCTTAATTTTTACAGCAATCTCATGAGATAAGGTATAATTACTTTCCCCATTTTGTTGATGAGAAAACCAGATTCAAAGAAGCAAAGTGACCTGGTAAACAACACACTTAAGGGCCAAGATTCAAACCCAGGTTTATCTGACTCCAGTCTCCAAACTCTTATATCCCTCTCGCTGCTTTCTATCAGAGCCTTCCTGTACCATCCCTTGCAAAAATGACCTCTGGCAGAGAGTTGGGGATGCTCCTTTTTCCTTTTGGCTTCAGGGGTTCTCTCTGCCACCTCCAACATCCACTGCCCAAGGTTTAATATGCTTTCAGGGAATGACCAAGAAGAGAATGCTCCTAAGTCATGGCAGGCTATCACAGTCCTATAGTTCACCAAGACTTGGCTTGGTCCATCAAAGGGAGGAAGCACACCAATACAATGCCACTCCTAACTCCCAAGGCTGGCCAGGTCACAATGTTTTTACAACAGGGTCATAGGGATACTGCATGCTCTGAGAAACTGACTGCTGAAAACTCTGGCTCAAGCCTCAGTGCCCAGACCAGGGGTCATTGCCAGCCATCCTAGGCCTCAGGTGAAGTAGAGTCTGGCCTAAGTCTTCCCCTCCTATGTGACAGACACAGCATAACACTCTGTATAATGTACTCAGCATAAGGGTCAGTGGTGCCAGTCTTTGCCATTTGCCTTAAATGCTGGCATTTACACAAGGCCAATTAGAAATTGGGGAACCAAATGTTGAATCTTGAGGATGATGAAACTGGATTGTGGAAGGCCAAAGATAAAGAAGATAAAACCAACATCAAGATTTAAAAAACTGATAAGCCCTAACCAGTTTGGCTCACTGGATAGAGCATCGGGCTGGGGACTGAAGGGTCCCAGGTTCGATTCTGGTCAAGGGCATGTACCTTGGTTGCGGGCACATCCCCAGTGGGGAGTGTGCAGGAGGCAGCTGATCGATGTTTCTCTCTCATCAATGTTTCTAACTCTCTATCCCTCTCCCTTCCTCTCTGTAAAAAATCAATAAAATATATATATAAAAAAATAATAAAAAACTGATAAATTTCCTAGATATAGACAGGATTTGTTCTGAGTCCTCAAAAATTCAGTTTCACAAGTTACATACATGCTAAAGAATTATACAAAACACATAAAAAGATCTTGCATATCAATAATTACAAAAATACCTAACATGTATTGAGCATTTCAATATGCCAATCACCGGGCTAATTATTCAAATGCATCATCTCATTTAATCCTCACAGGTTTTATTATAATTATCTTCTTCAATTGCATAGCTGAGATAACCAAAATACTAAGTGATTAAGTGACTTGCCCAAGATCATACACAGGTTTCCTCAAGTTTCAAGTTTATGCTTTGCCACTGTACCCTGCTTTAAATCCATGACATGATCATTACACATGTTCAGTGTGTGTGTATGAGAGAGAGAGAGAGAGAGAGAGAGAGAGAGAGAGAGAGAGAGAGAGAGAATGAGTGAGAGTGTTAGACTACAAGCCACGTAGGAAAAAATTCTGGGCAGGGAGGGTCATGCTGAAAGACACTAGAACCCCTTGTGTCTTTTGTGGTAAAACTGTCCCAATTACACAGTGCAAATGCCCCCTACTGACCCAGGGCACAGTCTAACAGGTAAGCAACTGACCACATCAGAGGACATGGCTTTTGATTTCACTTTACACCCACCTCCAGCCTGACACCCACATTTCTACTGGGTATGACAAATGGATAATGGGCCACTAGAAGGTCCTGCGAGAGTTTCCTCATTTGCACAATGGAAACATAATAGTACCAACTCCAGATTATTATAAAGAGTCAATATGTATAAAGTACTCAGAAAAGTACATGGTACATAGTAAGACACATGGTACATAGTAAGATACATGGTATAGTAAGACAGAGTCACTTACTGGCCTAGTGACTCTGAACAAGTCACTTAAAATATGTGTGTCAGTTTCCTCAATATTAAAATAGGTCTAATAATAGTACCTGGCTGAAATGGTTGCTGGGAGAATTTAATGAGATATGGTTACATAAAGTGATCAACCTAGTGGCTAGGCATAGTATGCATTTAATACATGATAGCTATTATTATCTTTAATAAAGTAATGCAAACAAATGTCACATTATTATTCATAACTACAAATAAAGCTGTCAAAGCCTTCTTGTGATTATTTACATTTCAATTTAGCACTTGATTACAACCAAAAACCAAAAGATATGGAATACATGACAAACTGTACAAGTGGCTACAAAGGCAAATCCATAGAGAAGAATTCTCAAAGGAAATTATATAATCCTAGAGGCCCAGTGCACACTGTGCACTGGTGAGGCCCTTTGGCCTGGCCTGCAGGGATCAGCCTGGCCTGCGGGGATCGGGCTGAAACCGGCTCTCCGACATCCCCAAGGGGTCTTAGATTGTGAGAGGGCGGTTCTCAGGTGACGCACCCTGGAATCGGGCTCCCTCCTCTCTGGGTCCAGGGTGCAGGTGTAGCAGATTCAGGGCCGAAAGTGTCCCAGCAGCAACCTAACTCATGGCTGATTCCGCGAGGAATCGGGCTCCTTCCTCTACTGGCTGGAGCATCTGCCCCCTGGTGGTCATTGCGCATCATAGCTACCAGGCGAACAGTCAAATGGTAGGATGGTTGCTTAGGCTTTTATATATGTAGATTATGAACTGCACAAAAATAAAGTACAACATATCAAAAAGGATAAAATATTTAATTATTACATTAGAAAAAAAGGAATGGTCTCAAATCAGGAACCCAAACTTCCACCTTAAGAATCCACAAGAAAAGACCAAATTAACTCAAAGCAAGCAGAAGAAATGAAATAAAGATAAGGATGAAACAAATGAAATTAAAAACAAAAACAATAGAGAGTATCAATAAAACAAAAAGTCTGTCTTTAAAAAAATCAAAAAAATTAATAAAACTCTAGACAGAATAAAATGAATAAAAAGAGAGAAGAAATAAAGTACCAATATCAGAAGGGAATGAAGGGATATCACTACAGACCCCCAGGAAATTAAAGGAATAATAAGTGGGATACTATGAAGATTTCTATGCACATAAAATTTGAGAACTTAGATAAAATGGCAAATTTCCACTGAAACCACAAATTACCAAAACTCATGCTCGATAAAGTAGATAACCCGATTACAGAAATTACAGAAATTGAATTCATACTTAAAATCTTCTAAATAAGAAATCCACAGACCTAGATGGTTTCAGTGATCAATTCTATCAAATATTTATAAAATGTCCAGGAAAGAAAAGGAGGGAAACATTTCTCAACTCCTTTTATGAGATTATTATTAACCAGATACCAAAACCACACATAGAATGTACCAACAAAGGAGGAGCAGAAAGAAAACTAAGACTAATCTAATATCCTTCATGAATGCAGACACAAAAATCCTCAATAAAATGTTAAATATAATAAAATATAAAAATAATAAATATTTGATCACCATGTGGGGTTTGTCCTTATAATAAAAGGTTGATTTAATATTTGAAATTAAGTTAATAAAATCCCTCAAATTAACAGTTTAAAGAATTAAAAAAGTATATAATCATATTAATTGATATAAAAAAGAAATTTCTCAAAATTCAACATCAATTCATGATAAAAATACCAACAAACTGGAAATAGTAGGGAATGTCCTCAACCTGATAAAGGGTATCTAAAAAATATTACTTGCCCACAC